TATAGGATAGTAGTCTCATAATATTATAAACTGACTGATAGTACAAATTTAGATCACTGAGTTTAAACTCTATGATTTAGATATTATGTTTTGTGAAATATTTCGACGTTCTAGATTCGAATTAGTGTGGAGATGTTGATGCATACCGGAGGGGAAATTAACTATTAGTTTGTGCTGAATAAATATTACATTGCATTTCATTAACAGACGGACATGGAAGCATCACCTACAGACCCTCTTATTGATATCATTCCACCAACGATCGAAGAAATCAGGATGGCTATCAGACAAATCAAGAGTGAGGAAGCAACAGGACCTGACGATAAACCACAAATGTACAAGTATTTATAAACAATTATCTACGCAAGGTGATCAGTCTCTGCTGATTATATACTATCAACAACAGCCCACTATGGGAGAGAACGAACCAGGTTCCAGGTGAGGGGTAAATTAGGAAAAGACCCTGGAGGCGAATACAATGTGTATTACGCGAATCAACAAACTGTATCGCGAGGCAAGTGCTAACTTGAAATTCTGAATAGAAGATCAAAAGAGAAAGACCAAGGAACACACTGCGTTGTGAACTGTAAGCAGACATGAAAATGATGAATAAAAACTGTAAACAACTGGAAAGGATTGCCCAGGATAGAGTTGGATGGAGAATGCTGGTGGGTGGCTATTGATCCATCACGATGAATAACATGCGTATGGAAGTCTTGTAAATAAAGGATTTAATAGAATTTACCACTTGATCATGCTAACGATAAAAGACACTGATCTTGAATGTTGATTACTATATTTTATGTGAAACAAGGAAATTAACGGTATTTAAATACAAGTCGAGAGAAATTTTTCTCTTTCATTAATTCCTTGTCAAAGCTAAACACTGATTTATAGGATTGGAAATCAAAAGTAAAAGCTACACCAAACAAATGGTTTGGGATTCATTTAACGTCGTATCTCAATATTTTTTTAAAAAAGGACCAGGCCTACGGTTGTATGATCCGTCTCTTAATACAGCCGGTCATAAGAGTGCATACTGATAAACCTATTATTTATGTACAGGAAAATTTCGTATAGCCTTTGGTCTTCTACTTCATTACTCCTACTCTCCTGAAAACATTTTTACCTCTTTTCAACTTCATTTTCAGAATTTTATTCTCACGAGATACCCTAATGACCTAACTATCCAATTTCCTTTGCATCCGTTTCATGAATCAATTATTATTATCCTTGAGGAAGATATTGAATTTCTCATTTTAATTGACCTATCGGCGTTGGATAATGACTTTATGCTTAACTTGGAAATACATATTATTGTAGAGCCTTGACGAAGAATGCAAAACTGTTTATTATACATTCACTTTTCGGTTACAATAGACTAACCCACTATTCTGATTGAGACGTGAAAATAAATCATTTTGATCAGACTATTTCATTACTTCAAAGTCAATAATGAATTAATGTAGTAATTTCAGTAAGATCATGTTAAGAAATCGCGTATATATATGTATGGGTATTGTACTGTAAAATGTCATTCTACTCTTCAGAACACATGTTGGTGCTAATATTCATTTTATTGAAAAATTTAGACAAGTTATATTTTTAGTCCCCTGTATGAGAATGGTCAAAATATTATAGAAACTAAGTGGAGTTAAATTAATGGGCTGTCATTAATGGAGTATATTTGTGAGTCAAAGTAATTTCTATTCGGGAACATAATCCAGAGGTCGTTGACTAGTCAGTTGTACTGAGGATAAATTTACTCCTATGCGTTTGCACTACTTAAACTCTATGTAGTAGTTAAACGCAAATCAAATATTTCCAAACGAGGACGCTGTTGATTATATTGAATTTTGGCGGTATCCCATTCGACGACATGTTTTATTTAGAAATAACCACCCTAACGTTCAAGAAAAAGCTATTCGAAATAATAATTACTTGGGCAGTCTTTTTCAATTAGTTTGTACTAGGTAAAAGTTCCAAGCTAGATTTCTATATAACACTGCTTTTTGTATTTTTCGTTTCAGATTTGTTGTTGTATATATGTGGGGAAGAAAACGAACTATAGTTCTTATCGACTAGTTACATAATATATAATTTATTGAAGGATATGTGCTATAGTTCTTATTTCAAATCATAATCAAATACTGAGGTGAAAATGAAGTAATGAAACATCTAGAAGTTGGTTATCTATCTTTAGATTGCTCATAGATATTTATATGACGTCATGTTTACTGGCCTTTCATTTAGTTATTTGATAGATCCTGTGATCAAAAATGTTCTTGCTCGATATTATTATTGATAGATGTTTTCTAAAGATTACTTTATTTCCTAAGAAACAGTGCATCATATACCAATACGATATTTGAACTTTAATTATTAAATCAATAGACATCTTTTTGGAGCATCTGAAATCTAGGATATATTAAATTAGTACAGTTACTATTAAGATTTTAAGTTTATGGAAAATGTTCCGTCTGTAATTAGTTTTCAGCAAGCACTGATATGATAGGAAAACAAATGAATATAGTACTTACAAATCAGTCAGAATTAAAACAACTACATTTCTAAATTCAGTATCTGTGATATTTACGGTGATCACCCGATGAGATCAGTAATACTTCTGTTTTTTTTTAATATGGTTTCACAAGTGATATTAGTTCGTGATGAAAATTAATTTATAAAACCAGCAGCTTTAGTGAACGAGTTTATTTTAAAGATTGTCATATCAGTTTACATATTCATATAACAATTCTTGGTTTCTATATTATTAAGTAGGTGTGTATTTACTGGCTAAGTTAATTTTACTGATGTCAGTTATCCTTTAACAGAGAATAGACTTTCATGGTCTATTTTAACTAAAGTAAAGATAATGTGGCAGGTAATTTGATGCGGTTCAACTTCAGTGACTATAGTAATAGACAATTTCCTGGTAAATACAGTTTGGTATGTAATGCTGTAAAATTATTAGGAAAATATCAGTGATGGTTTTTCTACTAGCCGTTACTAATTTTCATTAACAATCCATTTAACATATGTAGTCGCTTTATGTTGGTATACATTTTCCCATTAAATTTCACATGCTGTTACTGTAGAGGCTATTGATAAGAAATGTTATACTCTTGATTTCAAAATACTTCATTAACAATGATTGTTTCCACTGATTTGCAATAAGATATCATCAATATTCCGATTGTTGTGTTTATGTATGTTACATAACAACACAGTTTCTATTAATATCTTTGGAAATCCCATTCAGTAGTAGGAAAAATGTAAGAGGAGTTCTTGACATATTTTTTCAAAAGTTTTGGATGCGAATGACGCACTATATACACAAATGTAACTGGGATAAACGGTAACTTGTTGATCTATTCACATGTATCAATATCACATTGTCCAAAATTAAATGTATGTAGATCCTTAATACTATTGGTTGGTAACTTATCAAGAACATGAATATCTTTAGACTAACTCAAGTTTGATTAATGGTTAGAGCACTTGACCTTTAACCACATTCACTTTTGATTGAGGACCTTCGTATCATTAGATCTCCCGTACAAAATGTGTGGGTGAATAGGTGACACTGAACAGCTTCTTTTCAGTGGTGGAAACCAAGAAACTGTCTTAAATTCCGTAAATAATGAATTGGGATTGTCGTTTTACACGACGGAAGTGTTCACTTTACTGTGGTCGATACATCATGTATGCTGCATGATTCAAGGGTTATTAGTACCAGTATGGCGAGGTTTCCCTTATTTATACGATTTGATACTCAGACAGTTGGAGTCAATAGATAAGAAGCTATCAAGATAAAGAAATATTTCTGACTTGATAATGAATTTACTTGCACATTAAGATTTACACAATGAGATTAACCAGCTAAACAACCAATTTTGACTATTGACAGTTGTTCAACCAATTTTTAATGATGAACCAACTTCACGATTATAACATCTAACACAATCTATATTAAGTCGTACTGTTCTTAAATTAGTGTTCAACTTGTCTAACTGTATATAACTCTAGATTACCAAGTTATAAATTAAACTTAATTGGATAAAGACAAACGATAAGACGCGAGCGGTAAACTGAGGCGGTTAAGAACAGATCTGAGCATGTGAATGTCAGAGTTGGGCCACAATCAGTCAGAATAGTTCACTAATAAATAGGGTTCGGTTTTCTTGATTTGACTGATATCTGACACAGTTTAAATTAAGTGGTTTCCAAATGGATAATAACGACTCTCCCACGATCAATTTCGATCATGGTTAGTTTTAGTAAAGCCTTTTTTATTACCTTAGTTAACAGACAATATTGTTCGAACAGTAACAACTCACACATTTCTTTGTACTATTATGATCCCTATCATATCTGTATAAACGTGTACGGTTGATCACACGACAGACTCGAGCTAAAATGTTGATAGCTTAAATATCGCTCGATGATTCATTCTCTTCCGATGTATATATATATACGCGAATCCTATTATTAGCCTTTGCTTTACCTTGCTATGCCCTTATGCGATTTGACTATAAATTTGCCTCTGTACTTGCTCACATACACATATTCGTCTCTATGCTTCGAATTCGCTTGATATGCTTATGGATTTGTGATATGTGCTATCCGCTAATAAATCGTAGTCACCACTTTTATTGCCTCCTGATTTCAAACACCGTTAGGATTTATACAACAACGGTTACAAAGGTAATTGATTAACGAAACCAAGTCACTACATGTTCATATAAATCAATCAACTACTACTCTTAGCTTTACGCTTGATATAATCACTGTTGTAGTAGACCTTCCGCCTGTTTCGTTTTAAGCATTTTGAATGTAAACGGAGAAATCCAGTGCACAGTCACGTCTACCTTTAAAATTTTCATTTTGCAAGGACAATTTTTTCCCTCATAATGATTATGTGAGCTATGTTTACATTCGTAGTCTGAAAATATCTTTAATTTTTTTCTAGATCTATTAAGAACAAAATGTAAACACAATGATGATAGTAGCATATATGTATTTTTATTTACAGAGATAAAACTGCAGTATAACACCACTAAAAAGTTTGGAGAAATAAATCCATGGTGAACAGAGGATGAATCCATAGCTTCACTTTACATATCAGTTAAATTATATAATTGATACACTTTATCATAATCATAAATCATTTTATTTAAATCAGCATAATTACACAACTGTTCGAGAATACGTCGATGATGTTTCTGTATACTATCAAGTGTTTTGTTATGACTTTTGTGTGGAAAATAATCAATGTCTAGTTCGAAATCCGGACCATAACGAGAAAAGTAGGAATGTTCTGGAATTTCAGGGGAAAGTGTCATCCTGCAGTAATAAACAGACGCGGAAAAGTAGCATTTGTAACTTTAAGGTATAATAATAATCAACTGTTAGTCACACAGTTCACGATGGTCTTGGTTTTACTTAAATTCAAAAATGAAATATAACTAAAGTTGATAAATTGGAATAAGGCCACAACCTCAGTATAGGAGGTATTTTGAATGAAAAGAAATTTCCCACTAATTTATATATAGTCTACCCTGAAAAAAGGCTACATTATAAGGTTGTCATATCAAATTAGGCATCTAGACTGGTGTCATAAGTTTTGACTATTATTTATTTATTTATTTTAACACATAGGTATTGGTACAAGGAGGCACCAAATACATATGCGCCACACATTATCAATTGATTTGTGTGAGGGCTGTGATACTGCCCGGGTGCCCAAACCGAAGCAGGTGGTTTTCTTACGTGGCCACACCCCGAGCCTTCGACATGAAGATCTGATCCACAAGGCAGTGGAGCATCGTGAGGAGATGCAGTCCCATGGTAGCCGGTGACCAACGATTGGTTCATACGCCATTTGTTCCTTCAGGATACTGGAGCCCATGTGTACCATTGGTTTCGGGTCCGGTTAAAGCGCCGGACATTCGCTTTTCGTCCTCTCATTTTCGTAAACAACACCCCCGCCACGAGAATGCAGTGAGTAGGACATCCCTGTCAGAGGCTATTTACGCGTGGCCATGTGAGAGCATTTCGAGAGGGAGAGCGGACTCTCCCCACTCTCGGCCATACCAGGGCATTTGACTAGGATAAACAAAACATTGGGAAGCGACAAAAATGTGGAAATATTTGGAATCCAAGCCTTAAATACTTACCATAAGGACAATAAGAAATTGAATAAACCCCATGCCAACGATAAACAGTTTTGTACAAGTGCATTTGTAGAGGCAAAGTTCCTCTTAATCTGACTCCAATATATTGTATCTTGTTAACTGAGTATTTAAAGTAGGCTAAATCTCCTAGTAGAATTATCGATTTACTCGAGATTATTCAAAAGCCCAAAAACCAGTTATAGAGATAGTTCATTGTTAGAGCTTGGTAAAATCCGCAAGCATACAGCAGGCAAGCGCGTAGGGAAAACCCAAGTGTGTGTGTGAGTGAATGAATGAGTGTTCAAAAATTCGTTTACATATATATATGTGTTAATCAAGTCTGGATAAATTATTGATTGTCTGTGTATTACAATCGATGGGAGAATAGATTAAAAATTGACATGTGCTCAATCAGACTCACACAGAAAATTACATGATGAATCAAGTGTCTAAATTACAATGAGCAAATAAATAATACAGCAGTGGAATGGGATTACTACACATTAAAGTGCCTACGTAATTTTAAGCTTTCTAATTGAAACAAATAAATATCAGTGGTATCCTATATTATGGTTATGTGTCACAAGAAATTCAACAGTTCGCTAGCTTCACACCACAATAAGATACACATTTTAATAACGAATACAGGTGAAAAATCAAGTTACTTCACTGTCCTGTTAAGTAACATTAGTGATAACACGCACCTTGATAATGAAACATCAAGTTCAAAGGACAACTGAATTTGAACATACCAAACTAATCATACATTTACAAGAGACTAAAGAATCAAGATGACATATTAGTTGGAACTAAGTCTTCGATGATGAACCTAGTGAATTATTCATCAATTCTCTAAAACGAGGCAACATATTAGCACTAGAAAATAGATCAAGAACTAAGAAAATTTAAAAGCCACATACTTTTTACCCTTAACTTCTTCAATTGTCAGAGCTGTAACTCTTGTCCATAGTCTTGCTGTATCCGGAAAATTATAGCCACCACCTCCAAGTATCAATGTTGGAACTTTCCATGATAAAATTTTCTTAATAGCGTACAAATAGCCACTCAAACTACATTCTGGGTCGCAATCTGAATTGAAACTAGGATAAAAATTAGTTAAACGGAATATTCGATGTGGATCAGTAGCTAAACAATCAGCTCCACATTGAACTACAACATAACTTGGTTGAATAACTATGTTAATAGAATCAAGTATAGGGCCAATAGCATTTGACCAGTCCAAATCACTGATGCCTTCTTCTGTAAGCAGAAATAAATAAATAAACATACATAAAAATAAATAGCTTTTGACAAGATTTTATTCAATTATTTCCCTAAAAAGAACTCAATTTAAGGTATATAATGTTTAGCTCCAATTACCTATGCCTAAGCAGTGAGATGTTAAAAAACCTTATGGCGGTAACAGTATTCATTACTGTTTACAACTCAATCACTAAGTTCATTTATTCGAGTTTGAAGGGCACGTTTTATATTATGGCTAATGGTACTACTAAAACTCAAGAGACTCAAAACTCTAACTAAAATACTTCTGCTCGAAAAATCAACATCAAACCTACTATGAAATATGTCCGAAAAACAAAGATATATTTTTTAAATGACACACTTGCAAAACCACATCAGAATATCCCTTTACGGTTTCCTACGAAATTTATGTTGTATAAGTAGGTATTTAACTTTCATCATAAGATATTATCCTTGTACCAATATTTATGTGTTCAAATAAAATAATATTGTTTCCCTACAAAGTGGAAATAGCAGTGATAAGATGAGTAACCATCATGAGATGTTCGGTGGTCCGAGGTAATCGACAGGAAACCCTGGACATAGGTTTAGTGCTATTTGGCACTCACCGGCAAGGTACGCCCTTAATATCAAGGGGGTTGGTGCTGACTGGAGGACTGGAACCAGGGTCAATCGGCTTTACAGTATACAACGTTATCACTAAGCTGTTCGAATTTAAAAGACGCCGGTAACGGGTGCAACAATTGATTCGGGATCTAAAATTTCTTCAGTATCGCCAGTGGGCCACTTCGTATTTTATTGAATAGTAGCATCAAGAAGGACACACGACATAGTGATGATGAAATAATTCATAATGTTTAACATATTGTTAAAATATAATACCAGTTTACGGTCCAACACTTTTATCATGATATTCACAGTTACCACAGATCTGTTAGTAAAGATGTATATTTTTATTTCAACAGATTAATCTCAGTAAAAAGTGGTTAGTTTGAGTGGGGAAAGGGCTTGGTTAGAAATGAGTTTTCCAAAAGAAAATAAATACTAGAAAATTCCAAAACTATGGTAACTAAACTCTTATACTACGAGTATACAAGTCAGCACTCAGCGTCATTTTTTTGTTAAATATACAAAGTATGTAGGAAATTCTGTGAGTGTATTTTCGCGATATAGTAACAAGTTTTTTTAGGTGATGATAATTAATTTATCAATTATATAGATCATTTTTTTAGCAGAATCAAAATATTATTAGTTTTATTTTAAACTGAAAAAGTAAAGTAAATTGTTGTTCATATTCAGACTGTTGTTCAACGAAAGAAACAATAATACAAATGCGTGATTGCTCACTTTAAGAACGAACAGCTAGAAAGACACTACGCTAACGACTGATTTGGAAAATGTTAAAAGAAAGGGGGAACAAGAAAACATACAGGATGAAGAACTAGAAAAATGTAATATTAGTCATTACTCAGTAACCAATCAATTGAAAGTAACGATTATTTATTAGTGGTAAATGTTATAAAAAATTATTAAATTTTCAGTTAAATACAACAAATTAACACGAACGCCTATATATATATATATATATATATATATATATATATATATATATATGGATACAGTGGATAGTTAGGATGCAATTGGATGATCTAGACTTCGCAGATGATCTGGCTCTTCTATCGCATACGCAACAACAAATGCAGGAGAAGACAACCAGTGTAGCTGCAGCCTCAGCAGCAATAGGTCTCAATATACACAAAGGGAAAAGCAAGAGTCTTCGACACAACACAGCATGCACCAATCCGATCACATTTGACGGAAAAGCTTTGGAAGATGTAAAAATCTTTACATATTTGGGCAGTATCATCGATGAACACGGTGGATCTGATGCAGATGTGAAGGCACGGATTGGCAAAGCAAAAGCAGCATATTTACAACTGAAGAATATCTGGAACTCAAAACAATTGGCAACCAACACCAAAGTCAGAATTTTCAATACAAATGTGAAGACAGTTCTACTGTATGGGGTGGAAACCTGGAAAACTACGAAATCCATCGTCCAAAAGATACAGGTGTTTATTAACAGTTGTCTACGCAAAATACTTCAGATCCGCTGGCCGGACACTATAAGCAACAACCTACTGTGGGAGAGAACAAATCAGATCCCAGTGGAGGAAGAAATCAGGAAGAAGCGCTGGAAGTGGATAGGACACACATTGAGGAAAGCACCGAACTGCGTCACAAAACAAGTCCTCACATGGAATCCTCAAGGTTGAAGGAGGAGAGGAAGACCAAAGAATACATTACGCCGGGAAATGGAGATATATATGAGAAAAATGAACAAGAATTGGATGGAACTAGAAAAGAAGGCCCAGGACAGAGTGGGTTGGAGAATGCTGGTCGGCGGCCTATGCTCCATTGGGAGTAACAGGCGTAAGTATATATATATATATATATATATATATATATATATATATATAAGCTAATGTTGAGTAATCTATACTACATTCTCAACTACTATACTACTAGTGCAAAGGTCATTCTATTAAATCTATGTGACCAACTGATTGAGATTAACTTTTAAGCACTGTTTTTGATATAGATTTGTAAACTGAGATGAACTTGTTGTGTTGCAACATAGTGTTGGGGTATTCAGAAAATACCCCAGAAATTGTCTAGTGCTATTCCTGAATGAGAAGTAGTGTCATTTCCTGAAGGTTAAATCTTGTACAAATGTTACTTTCTATTTTATGGTACGATGTAGTCTGTTTGATTGCTATATAAACAGAGTATGTTTGAAATATAATGATTCATATCTCCGAGGCTGAGACTTGTGTTCTGGACTCAATTGGCTGGGCTAGACAGGGAAGCAGGACCAATCAGAGCTCTAGGTTGCTCTCTAATAGGCGGATCACACGTTATAACACATAGTTACTATTTTGCTTCGTTAACACACATGTTATTAAATAACTACTGAGAAATGAAGGTGTAGAGGGATTACGAAAGCTTCTGAATGAAATACAAAACTACCTAACGGCAAATTGAATGCTGAGAACCTGCCACGACCAGCGCCATTTAAGAAAATCGGTAATTTATCATTATCGACCATATTCCAGGTTCCTGTACCGGGAAAGAAACCAGGAGAGGCATGATGTACAGAAAACGTAACTACACGAGGACTATACCAGAAAGCTTCTTCTACTCCATCACCATGATGAAGATCAAGGTCAACATACAATACTCGTGTCTGTCTGTTGGGCGAAATTTCTGATGGAGTTGATGAGACCAGTCGATGGATGGCTAAAACAACATCATTCAGATAGCAAAATCCAGAAGCTTCACTTCTTTTGGCATGATGCCACCCACCGCCCCAGTTGATAACGACCTAAAGTTGGGGATAAAAATAACGATTTTAAAAAGACCAGTGGGATGAAATATATACTAGAGTGATACAGTAAGTAATTAATAGGTATAATGAAATGGCTACACAAGTAATAATAAAATTTATTTATTTATATAATAAAATGGGACTCATCAAATACATTTTGTGTGAGGTTGAGTGGTTATCCAAACGAAGCATGGCCCTGGTACTGCCGAGAGTGGGGGGAGTCCGCTCCCCCTCTCGAAATGCTCTCATATGGCCACGCGTATACAGCCCCTGCCAGGGAAGTCCTACTCACTGCCTTCTCGTGGCGGGGGTGTTGTTTACGAAAATGAGAGGACGAAAAGCGAATGTCCGGCGCTATAACCGGATCCCAAAGCAATGGTGTACATGGGCTCCAGTATCCTGAAGGAACAAATGGCGTATGAACCAATCGTTGGTCACCGGCTACCATGGGACTGCATCTCCTCACGATGCTCCACTGCCTTGTGGATCAGATCTTCAGGTCGAAGGCTCGGGGTGTGGCCCCCTAAGAAAACCACCTGCTTCGGTTTGGGCACCCGGGCAGTATCACAGCCCTCACACATATCAAATGAGATCTGTGTGGCGCATATATATTTGGTGCCTTCTTGTACCGATATTTATGTGTTAAAATAAATAAATAAATAAATGGTGAAGATTGAACTTGCAACCTTAACCAATCATAATAAACATAAGCAGCAGGTTACTGCTTGCGTGTCAAGCGCTCTAAAAGCTACAACATAGTTTCAAAGGATCCTAAATATACATTCCAAAAACTATTTATATGATTTTCACTGGTTTACTTCCTTTATTTTCAGAGCCCAATTCTATCTTTTGATTTTTAGAAGAAAGTCTTTGTTAACATGATTGTCTTAGGAATTGAACTTTTAAGAGACTACAGAGAAGTTTAGGGAAGTTATGCACATGACGGAGTAATTAGGAATACGTAAAATATCGCACTTTCTAATTTATGAAATACCTAATTATTTGTTAAAATGAATTTCAGTAGTTCGTAACAAAGCTTTGATATAGTTTGGGTTTTGCAATACTAAGGAAACTAAAATGTACTTTACAGTGACAAGAAGCAAAACAAAGGGTTAAACCAACTTAAAAATATATGATGTATATTTTACTACATTAGACAGTTTTCTATTAGTAGACGAAAATCAAGACTCAGATTATTGTATTAAGTAATAGACCTTTGGTGTTCTTTTATTATTCAAAAAGGTAATGAAAATACTTTCTTATGAATCACAACTTTTGCATTTAACTCTCATTACAAAATAAAAACGACTACTTTTCGGCTTTGTGAGAATATGTATTTGTGGTAAAGTCGATCTTACGCGAAGGGGAAGGAATGAATCTCCTTGTTACCCCAAAATAGCTAACAATTTTTCTCAAAAAGTATCTTATAACAGTGATTGCTGTTTTTTTGACGAGAATTTTTTCTGGGATTTAAAATTCACTTTAAAATTTAAAAAATGTGTTTCACTTAAGTTATTAGTTAAATCAGAGGTGGCACAGAAACAACAATAATAGCAACACAACGTTGTGTTCACTGAGAAGTAGGAACGACAAAAGTATTATAATACTTAAGTGATACTTTTGCCCTAAAGATAAATAGCGTAAAGAGTTTTACCTCACAATGACGACAGATTAAAGCATTAGCTGCAGCTAAACTACCTTGAACAGCAGCTAACGAATAATCGAAAACACTAGGAAAACCAGGGCAGTCATAATTCAGACTAAATGAATCCATAAGCAACTCGTCATCAGAAGTCAATTCTTTCTCCTCAACGTGTAGCATTTGTAATTTTTTAAGAGCATCAACATATTCTTTACTGAAGAAAAAAAGAAAAAAAATCGATATGATGAACAATGAAGAATTAAGTGGCTCTACGAAGACATGTAGGATTTGTATGGAAATAAAATCTAATACTTCAAATATAGGACATTTAGATTCTGATCTAGGAAACCCTATTAGTTCCTTAAGATTAACGTTGTGATAACTGGATTATCTCTATATTACCATACGCTGAATGTTGGGGCTTTTAAATAGGTAGAAACATTATAATTTCGCCCTTCTAGTGATGTTTTTAACTTTTATTGATCGGTAGTCAGGAGAGTTTTCAGAATGTTTCGCTCTCCACCGAGTAATTCAATAGAAACTTCAGTCCATTAACATGAAAATAAGCTAAACTATGAACTAAGCAAAGCGATACTGCTAGAACTATATTCATGGTAATTTGAACCGGAAAAATTCAAAGGATTAAAATTTTTATGTACACATACTTGGCCTCGTCATATACTACAGGTTTTTACTATGTACTAGATACGGTGCCCTTGATAAATGGGACGAACTCCGATGTCATTAAATTAGTTATTCGCACCACAACAGTAACTGCTTTCACTTCCAACATTTTCCAATTTATCTCAGCATAGCAACATATTACCGTGGTTTGACTGAGTTGCCGCTACAGATAAATGTAACTACATCAATGTAGATGCAGATAGTTCATCATAGTTCTTCTACAAGACTGGCAGGATTCTAATCCTGTACTCACTCTGGATGGTGAGCAGATTGAAGTAGTCGAGAAGTCCGTGTATCTAGGTAGCTGCATAAGTGCTGGTGGTGGCTTGAGTGATGAGATCAATGCACGTATAGTGAAAGCCAGAGCGGCTTATGCCAATCTGGGCCATCTTTGGCGCCTTCGTGATCTTAGTCTGGCTGTAAAAGGATGGATCTACAACGCGTCGGTGAGAACAGTTTTGCTCCATGTTTGTAAAACCTGGCCTCTCTGAGCTGAGGATGTTAGACGACTCTCTGTGTTCGATCATCGCTGTCTCCGAAGGATTGCTGACATCCAGTGGCAACACCATGTCAGTAATGCAGAGGTTCAGCATCGTGTGTTCGGGCGCAGAGATGATAATGCAAATGGTGTCACCATCTTGAAACACCGACTTCAGTGGCTTGGACATGTTCTACGAATGTCGTCCCAGAGAATTCCACGTCGTGCATTACTTGCCGACTCTGGGACAGGTTGGAAAAAGCGGAGGTTGTCAGTGTATGATATGGTGTCGTGGTATGAAAGGAAGCTGCAAAGGGCTAGCTTCTGTTGGTCCTTCACGACTCCCTGGCTGGGGTCCGAGAGACGGTGTAACGCAGTGGCTAGAGACGTTATCAGATATGGCTCAGAATAGAAGCCAGTGGCGATCCTGCTGTAACCTTCTTTTACTTTCTTCATAAAGTGGTTGTATCTTCCTTAACTGAAAGATCTCTTCTGATTGTACCTTTCCGTTTCCCCCACCATTGTTCTCTCTCTCTCCCTTTTTTTATAATTCCCCACGTTCATTACTTTTTTTTCTCTTTTCTCCTTCTCTTCAAATTATCATTGTTTTGTGTGGCGCATATATATTTGGTGCCCCCCTGTACCAATATTTATGTGTTCAAATAAATAAATAAATAAATAAATAAATAATGTAGATGCAAACTGGTTCTAAAACACACAAGATACTTCTAATTCAAGAACATTTGTAATGCACATAGAAACTAACTAGCAATTACTTGTTTTAAATATAGATGTAGATAACAAAGGAAAGTAGTTAAGCAATTATAATCGGAGTACTGAATTCGATTTGTTTTATTTATTAAAGTGATTGAACAGTAAACTAACTCACTTAAATAACCTAAGGAAATACTTACGAGTGAAAGGCAGTCACTGCTTCATACATGCGATTAGGTGAATCCCACTGTAAGGGAGGCACACGAGAAAGTTCTGGAATGAGTTTGTATGCATTGATTAAATCCATGACCAGGGCGTATCTGTCGCCAAACTTAGGTGAGCTACAACACAGCTGTCTATACTGATCACCATAAACGATACCAACAGACATTAGTGCGCAGCAATTTGGAGTTTTTCAGTGAGTCATCTTTGGATCAAATCCGCTGGAAAAGACAATAAACCTATTGTACAGAAACATAGGTGGGTATTCAGGACGTGATGCGAATCAGATATGAAATGGATTGGTGAATATAAATATACAACTAAACCATAAGCGTGGTCAGTCATAACCATTTACTTTTAGAACTAAATTTCAGGAGTGGCCAGCAGCGCCAGTACAGCTGACTGGATAAGTGAAACATCTATTTTACAGCATAGACCAAATTCTCGAAGAATTTACGTTTAATTCCCATTATCTCGAAAGCTTCGCTATTCAGAACTCTGGTTAGGATGAGAGTTGAAGGGTTGTTAAGAATATCCACTTTCACGAACCCAGATTGTTTTTAAATATCACTATAAACATCTACAGTACAGAAAACTGTTTATGAAGAACTTCAACAATATGATCATCACGTTCATCTTGATATATATTAGAATGACAGGGAGTTACCTTAATACCAACCTATTGTTATTTCATTACCTTGAACCACACTCTATCCGATTTTGCGATGATCCTCGTCTACTCTTTAAAAGCTGGAGAAGCTGCAATAGAATCTCGGGCAAGTGAAACAAAAACTCCGAAATTCCAGCTTGTTTTGGGGATTACTGAGTCCTCAAATCATAGAAATAAAATGTCACGAGGAAATCTTCTTCAAAGTAACCCATTGTAGTTCAAACTCAAAAAGAGAGGTATTGGAATCGCAAATTAGTGTAAACTAATGTATTCTAACAGAAAGTCATTACGCGAAACGTAACCTAGCGCACTCTCATATGCTGTGAGGAAAATTCCACATCCTAAGACAGCTACTATCAAAAAATTTTAGGAACTCCTATTTTAGTCTAAGTTTTGGGAAAAGTTAACTACATCTATTACTGGGCTATTTTGTTTTGAATTATTCATTTAATTATTCAAACGATTTGTTAGTAGGAAAGAAAATGAGATTTTCCAACCACTGGGACTTCAGTGTATTAGGGCGATAGTCACATATATTGAGGGAGGGCTGACACCATTCGCAAGGTATTGAAGGCAACGCTTCAGGGGTATCGTCCACTGTTAAACGTTGCGAGCAAACTCTTGAAAGAGTTTGTTGCGTCACATCGACAATTCGTAAAGTTTTTCAGAGGCGGTCAAATCAAGAAATTTTTAGATTTGAATTAAGTCTAGCCACACCATGTCTCATAACGTCCATCCTCAAGTAAAGTAGACGATGCCATCGTGATGATGCATGATATAGAACGAATCCTCAATGATATTATGTTATCTCGAAGATTTACAAGTTGGGACAATTTTGAAACCTGTTTGAAAGAAGTACATAAGGTAATATGACTTCTGTGGTTATTAATTATTTTCGTAGTATTCGCATACTAAGTACGTTATGTCAGTATGTAAAAAGAACAATGATGACCCAACTCTAAAGCATTTTTTCGCGCGCTATTCAAAAAGGACAGTGGTATTTTTTCTCGCTGAGTAAATTTTATTGTTTTGGTCGTTTATACGTATCAAAACTACTGTTTTCACTATAATTTAGTTTCTTTCAGTTAAAGTATTCGATCAAAGTATCGTTTTTGTTTCTGAAGTAGTTTGTTGTCAGTACTTTTGAGTACTCACTTTTTCTATTGTATCTGTTAGTACATTTGGTTCTAACGATCTACAGTTTTCCATTTTTTTGGTCATAAATCATTTTTGCCCCTGAGTATTTTTGCACCTAATTCTTTAAAAAAAACCGCGTGTAAATGACTGGACAGTGCAAAAAAAGCAATTGCCAACGCCCGAGCTGTCGTTATCCTATCGAAAGCGGCATTCAGTGCGATGAGTGCAAAGGCTGGTAACACGAAGTTTGCACAAATTTAACGCCTGCAGCTTTTAAACGGTTCAGTAAGCATGGTTGCGCATGGCTCTGTCAACAGTGCTGTTCGGATGCTAACAGCTTGCTAACCGAGGCCATCTCATTGGTTAATGCTGCGAAAAAATGTTTTGGCCAGAGTGGTCGCGAACACAACAAGTACTCGCTCTGTCGACACGCAAATTGGCGTGAAGCAAACTCAAGTGGGTTCGAAAACAGATGACTAGCACAGACCAAAGGAGGGGGAACAGTCTCCAGAGAGGTCTGTCCTAACCAAAGACTTAAGGAAAAAAGTTTCTTCAGTCCCACGTCTTCAAAATGGTATCCAGAAAGAAACACATAGAAGCCGCAAGGCTCGATCAGTTTCTAGTGGGACACATAACCTGACCTCCCAAGTCATCGAAAACCCTCCGGAATCCCACAGTATGTTTGACGTGACTGTGGTTGCTTCTCCAAGCAACGTAGACGAATGGTACAGGTTGCAAGGAAGAAAAAAATAACGATATCAAAGGGAACCCTGCTCTCATAAAAGTAGTCGAAAAATCGAAAGCTGATCACAGTAACAGATCAGTTATTTTTCATAGAATCAAGGAGAGCGAAAGCTCTGAACCAAAAACTCGTTTTGAGCATGACATTGTTCTGATAAAACAGCTACTTAATCAACTCATGCCACAAAATATCTCCGGAGTCACCTTGCTAAAGGCGTATAGACTAGGTAGTCTAGCGAACTTGAAGCCTAACCAATCTAGACTGCTTAAAGTAGTATTCAAATCTTCGAATGAAAGGGACTTAATTTTAGAGAACGGACATAAATTAAAGGGTTCGGGAGTTGTTATCCGAAAGGACTTGCCGTTGTCAGACCGTGTAAAAAGACGGGAAGCCGAAAAAGAACTACAAATTAGGTTAGACTCTGGCGAAAAGGACCTGAAAAGTGAAAATTTTCGGGTTGTGAAGCTTCGTCAGAAAATGATGCCGAAGCCACTCTGGGTGAAGCACGAAGCCACTTAAATAGGCTTCGGATCTGTTACACTAATGCCCGATGCTTGCTCAATAAGCGATCGGAACTACGTGAACAGATTGACTCTACAGAACCAGACATAATCGCAGTCACAGAAACCTGGCTGACACAGTCTATAGATAGCATGAAACTCGATTTTGAGGGTTTTGCTGTAGTAATGACCGGCAGAATACATAAGCGTAAATGAGGGGGAGTAGCTTTATTCGTCAGGAATGCTATCCCGTTTGTCATTATTGATAGTGTATCCCATGAAAGTGGTACGTGTGAACTGTTTAGTTGCAGCTTGAGATAAAAGGGGTAAGAGCTGCTGATTGGTTTGGTCTATCGCAGTTCAAGCTGTGAGGTAAATAATGTCCTGCTAAACAGGCTCAAAAATTGGTCGCAAAGCAGTCAATGTCTAATCCTAGGGGACTTTAATGCATCTATGGTAGACCGGGGAAATATGCGAACTGAATCGTCAGATAATTCCTTCGAGCAGGGACTAGTTGATGCGGTTATAACATGTGCCCTAGTGCAACATGTGAAAGAAGCGATTAGGAACGACCCGAACCATCCTTACTAGATCTTATATTAACTCCTCATTATGAAACCCGTAATTCCTTGGCACTTGTGAAACAAACTTATTCTAAATCATTTCTTTATATGAATTACTTTGCCTGTAAATTTTCTAGACTCTGGAATAACCTACCAGAACATATCCGTACGATAAAATCACTCCCATTATTTGTACGTTGCATCGATGCATACTGCTCCTCCGAAAATGCATTGAATGCTCTAGCACCTGCAAGTGTATCTCACTCCACAAGTGTCATTATAGGAAGTTTAAATGTTTAGGCATTTTTATTAGTGCATTCTCTGGATAAAACCACCAACTTGCTGTCACTTTATGTTAATACCGTCCCCAGCTAGTTTAACTAATTTGAATATCATCAACAGTATATCACTGTCACATGACATACGCATTTTGATAGATCTGATTGACATATTTCGGTAATTACTGCTTTGTTGTTCCGTGCTCTCTGTTTTCGTTTTTATTTCTCTAGTTGTAGATATTTATCATTAAATCGATCTGGCACACGAAATGACCTTAATTACACCGTTCATAAATCAACAGGCTGTCCAGTTAAGAAATATTATATGTTCTCGGCTGACGCATTGGATTGCTGTAATACCTAAACAATTACTGAACTAGTAAACTTAAAACTCATATCACATGTTTGTTCTGTACATATTATGATATTATTTATATCAAATTAATCATGCCTGTAAACTGGCGTGAATTCTGCAATTATCATTTTTTCAGAATATAAATTATTATTATTATTACTATGAGGATTGCCTTGCGAACCTCCATTACGTGCCATCCCGAGGTAAAATTGATCACACAGTTTTAACTTTTAACTTCCGTATAACTGTCAATCAAGAGCACGCGTCAGCTCAATCTAGACCTAACGTCTGGAAAGCAAACACACCAAATATCATGCACTCAGCATCGTTAGTAGATTGGACAATAGACTCAGAGACCTCAATTGAAACGGCTTGGGACGCATTCCGAAATTTATACTTAAAAGTTACCGCACCCCGCATCCCTTGGACTATACCAAGGGCGCTGAGAAACTCCCCACCATGGTTCAGTAGGGAGGTCCGTATCCCTTTCCGTAAGAGAAGAAAAATGTGGGATAGAATAAGGTTACTGGGGACTGATGAGACAAAATCTCAGTATCAAAAAGCCAGGAATACCTGTGCCTCGACCCTCCGTAAGTCTAGAAATTTGTACGGACAAAAAATTGTTAAGGAATCCACGGAATGTCCTAAACGTTTGTATTCCTACATAAACCGAAGGACGAAAAGAAGAGGAAATATTCCTGCACAATGGGGAGACAGTACTGCCGCATCATTAGTGGAAGATGACTTTGGTAAGGCTCAAGTGTTCTCAAACTACCTTAGCAATTTATATACCATAGAAGCACCCTTCCCGCCAGCGCATACCAACCCCCCCCCCACATACACTGGATAGCGTGATCATTAAAGAACTCGATGTCTTTGGTCTGCTAAATAAGCTTGACAGGTAAATCCACAGGGCCCGATGAACTGCGTCCTAGGCTACTAAAGGAATTATCTAACTTCGTTGCGAACCCTTTAAGCATATACTTAAAGCTATCCGTAACGCAGGGTCGTTTGTTAAAAGACTGTAAGAACGCCATGGTAAGTCCTGTCTTCAAAACTGGTACGAAACATAAACCTGAGAATTACCGACCCTTTAGCCTAACTAGTGTTGTTGTTAAAATCTTAGAAAAGGTTATTCAGAAGGGGTTGTTTAAGTACCTCGATGTAAGCCGGATACTTTCGAAGAAGCAGCACGGTTTCAGAATAGGTTATTCTTGTCACACTAACTTATTAGTCGCTCGTGAAAGCTGGTTCGCTCTTAAAGACCAAAAGTTACATGTAGATGTAGCCTAGATTGACTTCAGCAAAGCTTTTGACAAAGTTCCGCACAACCGGCTGTTATATAAGCTAAAAAATGTCGGAATTGGAGGCAATCTATTGATGTGGATAGAAGACTTTCTAGTTGTGCGTCAACAAAGAACACTGGTAAACTCAAAGTTACCCAACTGGGAAACTGTGCTTAGTGTAATGCCCCAGGGTACAGTTTTGGGGCCAGTGCTATTCCTCTTGTATGTAAATGACCTTCCTCGCATATTATCATCATCGGCCTTGCTTTATGCTGACGACGTCAAGATATAGAGAACGACAAGATGTAAGGGTGATAGCTTAGAACTCCAAGACTACCTGAAGAAATTATCCGAATGGTCTCATACCTGGCAGCTGCCGATAAATACTTTCAAGTGTGTTGTGATGCATATCGGTCATCAAGGTACAGATACATACACGATGAATAACACTGAGCTACTTATTGTTCAGACACATAATACTTAAGAGTCATGGTTATGCAAGATCTGAAGACTACTGCACACTGCCGTGCTATAGCCGCCAAAGGTTTTAGAACTTTATGGTCAATACGTAGGGCTCTTACTCATGTCGACGATAAAACGTTTTTGACTTTGTATACAGTGTTTGTACGTCCTAAACTTGAGTACTGCATACAAGCGGCTAGCTCCTGCTTAAAAAAGACAGTGGGCTTTTGGAAAAGGTCCAGAGAACAGCAACTAAGCTGATTCCCGGAATAGCGAAGCTTCCGTATGATGCTCGACTGGCCAAGGTAAACCTATTCCCTTTGTCATATCGTAGAACTAGAGGCAACTTGATGACAGTTTTCAAATTGCTTGGTGATAAATTTGCACTCGATATG